AAAAAAAAAAAAAAAACGTCATACAAACTCTCACTTCAAATTCCACTTTCATTGGAGCCTTTGTTTGAGATTTCTAAAGACTTTTTAAGACTTTTGATATCCTAGTGTATTTAATTTAGACTTTTTTTTTTAAATTTTAGAATATCTTGGTATATTTAATTTAGACTTTTAAAAGTTTTGAGGTATTTATTTGAGATTTTAAAAAAAGTCTTAAAAAACTTTGAGGTATTTAACTTATTTAAACTTTGATTTATTAAAACTTTTCAAGATTTTGGGATTTTAAAAAAGAAAAACCTTATACGTGATCTCACTCTAAATCTCACATCCACACTTAAATCTTATAGAATTCTTCAAAAACTTGAAAATCTCAAAAAGTCTCAAATTGTCAATTGGAATCCCAAACGAATACCCCCTACCCCTCCTTTAAGATTTAATAGGACTCCTCCAAAAACTATGTTCATCGAAATATTTTCGTTGTAATTCTTTAGAAAACTTCCAAAGAAAGTAATAACATAAGAATATTCATTGAGATTGTCGTTAACAATTTCCCTAGAACATTCAAAAATTTTCTTTGAAATATCAATCATTATCATATAGTTTTCCCACTTCTCTTTTAAACCAGATTTTAATTTTTAAGTAGTTACAAGAAAAACAATTTAAAACTACATGAGGGAAGGAATTCAACAATCAAACAACTATTTAGATTTTTTTTCCCAAAAATTTGTTGTCCTATTAATATATCATATTAATAACATTATGTTTATATTTATAGTTAGAATTTGTGTTAAAGTTGTTATATTATAAATAACAACTATAGGCATTTGTAATATTTGAACTTGTGTTAAAGTTGTTGTTTTATAAACAACAACTATAGGCATTTGTATCATTATTACTATTTTGCCATTGTGGTAACCCTAGATATAAAAGGGTGTCACCACTTGTTGTATTTTCTCACTTTTCACTTTTCTATTTTTGAATACGAGCGCAACATTCTTTTTCTCTCGTGTTCTTGTGAGTTCATAGCAAATCCTATGTCTTAGATCTTAATATGGTATCAATCGCCTAAAGATCCTCTGTTTTTCGCTTCCTGTTTATTGTGTTTTTGTGTTTATTTCTATGTGTTTTTGTGTGCTTTCGAGTCGATTTTATGTTTATTTTAGTGTCAACCGGTCCATTTTCTCGTTTGTCGTGTGTTTTTTATGTTTTGTTGTTTGTTTTATATTTTGGCGTACTTTCCCGTACTTTTGCTATGAATTTCAGGTTTATTCCGTGAATGGAAAGATTGAGAGAGTTGAACCACTTTCCGAGCGACGAGTACTTTCCTAAGAAGTCGAGTTTCCGAGCAGTCGAGCCATTTCGCACGATACATGCCCGTTTTCGAGAGTTCCGAGGCTAAGTCAAGTTCACGCCAAGTCCAAACAGCCGTCCACTCGCAAGCTCACGCGCACGTCCACGACGTCGAGGGGCTCCATTCCATAGGCCCGCGAGCTCGCCCCATTTTCCGCGCCATCGAGAGTGCAGCAGCTTCCTTCGCCCAGCGTACTCGCGAGCGCGCCCCAATCACCGTGACCTCGAGAGCGTCGAATTCCTGCACGCCGCGACTCGCGCCCGTCATCGCGACATCGAGAGTGTCCGCTCGCTCATGAGCCCGTGCAAGTTCTACTCGCGAGCTCGCGAATGTTCCGGCGTGGTCGAGAGTGTGCTATTTAAATCTGCGTTTTTCACTATGTGTTTGTGTGAGTATAAATACTTTTTGGCCTTTGTATTTTGGGGAGATCTAGCTCATTATGAAATGTTTCCTTTTTTGGTTCTTAGTTTAAGTCTTTTATTTTCTCTCTAGAGTAAGGTGGATGCTCTTTACATTTTCCGGCGACTTTTTCCGGTGACTTCTCGTTTATGCAAGTTTTAATCTTTTTCTTCCGACTTCGATCAAGCATGCGTTAGGGATGTGAGTACTTACTTTTAAGCCTTGTGATCTCGATCTTCGTACTTACTTGCTATCTCGTGCGTAGAAGTAATTAGGGCTTGCTCAGTTATCGGATTTTTAGTAGCTATTTTAGTTATTTTCGTTTCCCTTGCTTTTGTGAGCTCGTTTATGATGCTTGGAGTTGATTGATTGATTGATTGCTATTAGAAAAATCGGGACTTCATATTTAGCTCGGTTATTTCGTGGTAGGATTTCGATTTTAGCTATCAAGCATGTTAAATGGAGTTTGTTTCTCTTATTTTCGCTTTTGTTGCCCTTGGCTTTGTTCACCGGTTTAGTTGCTAGAGTTTGTAGTATGTTCACTTGCTCGTTGCTCGTTTAATTGCTTTCACTAGTCGTAATTAGTTTTAATCATCTTCAACCCAAATTGATTAGTATGTTTAGGACTTTATTTTCCATTTTTGTGAATTGAGCGATTGAATAGCGAGTAAAGCTCCGAATAGCCTTCCATCGAGATCGACCCGAGTCGGGTAACTCGGTTATCCTTTACCCACCGCAAAATTGTATTAAACACTTCCGCACTCATTTTTCATTTGATTTTTGATCTCCATCTCTGAGATCATCTTATTTTTTGATTCGATTCGCTAATTCGGGTTTTCAGTCTCTGAAACCCTAAAGATCTCGATCTATGTCTGTTAGATCTATTATATTTCTTCAGTTTTTCCTCTGAAATTTGGTGATTTCGCATCCAAAACGATATGGCTGCTACTGCAAATCCTACTGATGATCCTTCATCGCCTTTCTACCTGCACGCGAGCGACAATCCGGGAGCTCTGATAGTCGCCGAACTTCTCAACGGCGAAAATTACGTCAGCTGGTCTCGTGCTGTTCTCATGGCGCTTAGCGTGAAAAACAAATAGGTTTTGTTGACGGTACAATACTTTCCCCATCCCCTGTTAATAACCCTAACTTGCATGTGTCCTGGATTAGGGCAAACAACCTGGTATTGTCTTGGCTGTTAAATTCCATATCCAAAGATATTAGACAGTCTCTATTGTTTTTCAATTCTGCCAAAGATGTCTGGGATGAGCTGAAAAATCGATATGCTGTTAGTAGTGGTCCACGAGTTTTTCAGTTAGAAAAGTCTTTGAGCACTATAAACCAGGGTTCTAACACTGTTACTCAATACTATAATTCCTTTAAAGGTCTTTGGGATGATTATGTCACATTTAGGCCTATTATTAGATGTCATTGTGGTGCTTTTGCTACTTGTAACTGTAATATTTTTGAATTGATGGCTGACTCTCAGCAACATGACTGTGTAATGAAATTCTTGATTGGCCTAAATGATTCATATGCTTCTTCCGGAGCCATTTTTTGTTGACCTCACCCTTACCATCCCTCACCAAAATTTACTCTCTCCTACTCCAAGAAGAATCCCAGAGATCACTGCCCAATACCTTACCTACTGATCCCATGGCCATGCTTGCCAAAACTTATCAACAGCCAAACAATTTTCAGAAACCACAATACCAAAAAGACAAGAAACCAAGGGCTAAATGCTCTCACTGTGGTTATCCACACCCTTCTGACAAATGCTATCAAGTCTATGGCTATCCTCCCAACTGGGTTGGCCCCAAGGGCCCCAGGATACATCCTAAACACTCAGCCAATCTCACTCAAGCCATTACTGAACCCACTGATAATACTCCCAAATCTGATACTCCTAACATGACTAATGAGCTCTTTCATGAGTTTTTGGAATTCAAAAGGTTACAGGAGAATAAATCAGCTGCAGAACCCAATCATATGGTAGTAACTGCTGCTGCTGTGCATAATGCTACAAGTTTGCCTACTATATTTTCCTGCTCTGCATCTAGATCTTTATCTAAAAATACTTGGATCCTGGATACAGGAGCAACAGATCACATGATTTGTGATAAATCTTTTTTTACTCAGTCTAAACCTGTTCACAACATTAAAATTAATTTGCCAAATGGTAATGTCACTGAAGCATGATCCGTGGGTTAAATCAATCTATTACCATCTTTAACCCTGCATGATGCTTTATATGTTCCTAGCTTCTCATTCAATCTGATATCTGTTTCAAACCTAGTATCCACATCTCACTGTATGATTCAGTTCATGTCATCATGCTGCATTCTACAGGATTTGACCACAAACAAAGTGATTGGTTCTGTTGATTTACAAGATGGCCTCTATCATCTTACTCTTGTTAATTCTTCTGTTAATACTGTCAATACCTCAAATGAATGCAATAACCATGTATCCCCTCAATTACCTGTATCATCTCAAAAACATGTAACCCCTTCTTTACATATCAAATTAAGTCATGCAAAACATTATACATGGCACAACAGACTAGGACATCTTTCATACTCTAGACTGCTCAATTTACCCATCTTCGATATTCATCACAAATCCATACCTGCTTTCCCATGTGATGTGTGTCACTTTGCT